TACACATACACATGTACAACCAGTGCGTGTTGCCAGTGATGACTTACGGAACAGAGACGTGGTCCTTCACTGCTGGCCGTATGATGACGCTGGTTCTGCCAATGATGAGGATGATGATTCTGCCAATTTATTAAGTAAGTGTTCCCGAACCTTCATCTTGAACGCGTACCGATTGCTAGCCGTCCTGATTTCGAGAGGGAGTGCGTTCCAAAGGAGAATAGATTGAATGTGGAAAGAAGAATGAACAAGTCCAGAGTTATGGGATGGACATAGGAGAAGAAGGTTGTTCGTAGAGCGGAGGTTTCTCTCATGACTAGCACTAAGCAACTTAAAGTGAGGAGATAAGTAGGAAGGGGAAGTTGGAGACATCAGGATAGAATAAAGGGTAACAGGATAGAACACATTTAATAAGGATTCTAACGTGAAATAACACTTACTCCATTATTTCTTAGATCAGCCATTAAAAAAAATTTTGTTAAACAAAGTCAGTTTTTAAAAAATTTTTGGAACTTACATTAAAACGATTCTAGTGCAACCAAAGCATTTATAATGAACACAGCGTGGTTTAAATGAGATAGAGAGAGATATTCCATAAAGTGTAAGCGAGACAGATAGTGACGCTTATGAGACACAGACGCAAATACAAACTAAAGTAATAAAATAATGGTTATAAAATTAAGACAGTCAGTTTCGTTTTTATGATAAAATTTATTACTTATTTTACAAAAGATGATACAAAAGATGCAATACAAGCCCGACATCTTCTTAAAAAAGATCGTGAAATCAGGCGGGCAAATCTTCCATTATTACAAAATTCAACTGTTTCCGCTATTGTAAGTCTAAGCTCTTCTACATTTTCAATCGGCTTGGAATATACTTTTTCCTTCACTGCTCCCCAGTAAAAAAAATCTAGAGGATTTAAATCGGGTGAGCGGGCGGGCCACGAGATCGGACCAGCCCGCCCTATCCATCTGTCCGGATATTCCTCGTTAAGGTGTTCTCGAACTAAGCGGCTATAATGCGCTGGACAACCATCTTGTTGGAACCACATATCGCTGAAAATAATAAACGGCACGTCCTCCAGCAAATTAGGTAAATGATTTTTAAAAAATCTAAATTTTCAACATTTAAAACTTCTGGCAATTCAAAAGGCCCTATGACTTTTCCATTTAAAATTCCAGTCCATATGTTTATTTTGAAACGGTACTGTGATCTATCTTGTCTCATCAATCGTGGAATTTTGACGCGCCATTCGTGTAGATTGTTAAGGTTCATGTAGCCGTCTTTTTAAAGGTTGATTCATCCGACCACAAAATTTTTTCTAATAATTGTGGGCCTTCTCGGTGTTTTTGAATCATGGTTTGGCAAAACGCAACCCGAGGTTCATAATCCCGAGGTAATAACATTTGTACTCGCTGTACATGGTACGGGTGGAGCTCATTTTTTTGTAATATTCGATGAGTTATACTTTTGGGCACACCTGTGCTGGCCTCAATTCCACGTACCGAACAACTTGGGTCCTCATCAACTGCTTGAAGGACTACTTCTCCGTAAGGTAGTGAAATTTTATCCATCAGAGAAGAGTAGACGGTGCACATTGGTAAAAACTTTGTGATCTGGATAGCGATCAGCATTAGGGTATCTCTCGTGATACCGTCTAGTGGCTTCACTAGCATTATATTGGCATTCCCCATAAATGAGGTGCATGTTGGCATATTCCTGTGTGGGGTACACAGCCATTGTATGGTACAAATACACAATAACACGTTAGTCCAGGGAAAAGCAAAGGTCGCCGTAAAGAGATCACAAATGTCCAAATACAAATCCAAATCACACGCAACCAAGTCCATTAAACGAAGCCAAAGTAGTAAAGACACAAGATATCACCAGTGAATACGAAAAGATGCGTAGTAAATGAAGTAGCGTTGCGTACTGATTTCACAGAATACTTGACTGATTTGTAGTGCGTGTACCAATAATCGATAAGAGGCGTCACTACCTGTCATGCTCACACCTAGCATGGCTCTCTGTCTTTTTCACTCATTTGCGTCTGTATCTCATTAGCGTCACTACCTGTCTTTCTCACACTTTATGTAGTGTCTCTCTCTATCTCATTTAAAACACGCTACGGTCATTAGGAACGCTTTGGTTGCACTAGAATCGTTTTAATGTAAGTTCCAGAAAATTGTTAAAAACTGTCTTTGTTTAACAAAAAATTGTTTAACAAAAAAATGTTACGAGCTAAGAGTTCGTGACAATAAAAACTGCCGATTTAATTACTAAAATTGACACTTTAATTACTGAACACCAATTAAAACACAAATCACACAAATAATTATTCACACGTAACACTTCATTTCACTTGGAAATCTTCGCTCGAATCGCCGAATCAATACTGCCCCGATCGCGGCTTTCTAGGGATTTTACAGGCCTTTTCGACCGAAACATCCAGCAAATACCGGTCCCCAACCGACCAGGTGCAGAGAGTTCGAGTGTGGAGCTTTCCAGAAAGCTTAGTTCTTCTATTCGATACTAGATGGCGCTAATGGTGGAAAGTTCAGTAATGGCATTTTCTAGAAAGCCGTCCTTGCTCTGTTCCCCGACACTAGATGGCGCTAGTGCCAGGTACCAGTTACCAACTTAGGCGCGCAACAATACTATATAAGATGTCTACATTAAAAACCGATATTTACCTTTTAAATCGTCAAAATTCACAATTAAAATTAACTGACGAAAAACACGAGTGCACCTTTAACAGATTCCAGAGATGAAGATATAGAGAGAGACACTACATAAAGTGTAAGCAAGACAGGTAGTGACGCTAATGAGACACAGACGCAAATGGGTGAAAAAGACAGAGATCCATGCTAGGTGTGAGCATGACAGGTAGTGACGCCTCTTATCGGTTATTGGTACACGCACTACAAATCAGTCAAGTATTCTGTGAAATCAGTACGCAACGCTAGTTCGTTTACTACGCATCTTTTCGTATTCGCTGGTGATATCTTGTGTCTTTACTTCTTTGGCTTCGTTTAATGGACTTGTTTGCGTGTGATTTGGATTTGGATTTGGACATTTGTGATCTCTTTAAGACGACCTTTGCTTTTCCCTGGACTAACGTGTTATTGTGTATTTGTACCATACCATGGCTGTGTACACCACACAGGAATATGCCAACATGCACCTCATTTATGGGGAATGCCAATATAATGCCAGTGAAGCCACTAGACGGTATCACGAGAGATACCCTAATGCTGATCGCTATTCAGATCACAAAGTTTTTACCAATGTGCAACGTCTACTCTTCTCTGATGGATAAAATTTAATTACCTTACGGGGAAGTAGTACTTCAAGCAGTAGATGAGGACCCAAGTTGTTCGGTATGTGGAATTGAGGCCAGCACAGGTGTGCCCAAAAGTATAATTCACCGAATATTACAAAAAAATGAGCTCCACCCGTATCATGTACAGCGAGTACAAATGTTATTACCTCGGGATTATGAACCTCGGGTTGCGTTTTGCCAAACCATGATTCAAAAACACCGAGAAGACCCACAATTATTAGAAAAAATTTTGTGGTCGGATGAATCAACCTTTAAAAAGACGGCTACATGAACCTTAACAATCTACACGAATGGCACATCAAAATTCCACGATTGATGAGACAAGATAGATCACAGTACCGTTTCAAAATAAACATATGGACTGGAATTTTAAATGGAAAAGTCATAGGGCCTTTTGAATTGCCAGAAGTTTTAAATGTTGAAATTTATTTAGATTTTTTAAAAATCATTTACCTAATTTGCTGGAGGACGTGCCGTTTATTATTTTCAGAGATATGTGGTTCCAACAAGATGGTTGTCCAGCGCATTATAGCCGCTTAGTTCGAGAACACCTTAACGAGGAATATCCGGACAGATGGATAGGGCGGGCTGGTCCGATCTCGTGGCCCGCCCGCTCACCCGATTTAAATCCTCTAGATTTTTTTTTACTGGGGAGCAGTGAAGGAAAAAGTATATTCCAAGCCGATTGAAAATGTAGAAGAGCTTAGACAGACAATAGCGGAAACAGTAGAATTTTGTAATAATGGAAGATTCGCCCGCCTGATTTCACGATCTTTTTTAAGAAGATGTCGGGCTTGTATTGCATCTTTTGTATCATCTTTTTGTAAAATAAGTAATAAATTTTATCATAAAAACGAAACTGACTGTCTTAATTTTATAACCATTATTTTATTACTTTAGTTTGTATTTGCGTCTGTGTCTCATAAGCGTCACTATCTGTCTCGCTTACACTTTATGGAATGTCTCTCTCTATCTAGTAGTAACTAGAAGGCTGGAAGAAAACAACATGCCCGTAGAATATGCAGTATTACTCAGGCACTGTCTTACATCTGGCTACCTATTGTGTAAGGAGGAGTTCTATTAGCAAGTAGATGGTGTGGCGATGAGCTCACCTGTATCTCCCATTGTCGCCGACATATTCATGGAAAAGTTTGAGGAGAAAGCCCTGCTTACTTCTCCGATAAATCCAAGATTCTACAAGCGGTATATAGACGACACTTTCACAATTCTACCTTTAGATAAAGTAACTTTATTTTTAGACCATCTTAACTCTATAAATTCTAAAATGAGGACCTTGCAGCTAAAGGGAGGCAGGTCCAAATTTCAAAACTGTTGGGTATTTAAAAAAAAAGGTTTTTAAATATTGATTGATGTACTTATGTCTTATCGTTATATGGTATTATGTAATATGAACATATATACACATTTTATTCAAGATTTAAAGCAATTGAAGAAGTAATAGAATTACTACGATTTTTTAAAATTTGGATCTGCCTCCGTTTTGCACCAAGATTGAAGAAAAATACTACCCTATTTTGTATTAAGGATAATAAAATAGGTAAATACGGTTATTTTTTATTTCAAGAGTTAGTAGTCAGTCCACAAAGAATTAAACAATCAAAAGAAATACAAAACGAATGAGTGCTGAACAAAAAAATTAAAGGTTAACTTCAGCTTGATCATCGTCGTTTTCGCTAGAAATATCATCTCTTGGTCCGACAGCTTCACTTTTAATGGCCCTGTAGAAATACAGTTTATTTGGTGGAACATAGTTCTTTACCAACTGCATAAAATGGTTGTATTTAGACTTTTTCAACGGCAATGCATGATCATACAGCGGTTTCTGAGGCAGAACTGATAGTTGGGCTTGAGCATTTCTCATTATAGGAAAATAATCAAATACTGGCGTTCCCGTTGTAACACTGACTGCAATAGTTTCAATGTGGAATCTTCTCTGTATTTGTTATTACTTTTTTAAAATGATTCTCATAATGTTGGCTGAAGTTAAGTATCATATTTTGACTTGCATTTACAACTTTAAAATTTTTAGATGCTTGCGTAATACAATCGGCATATTCAGAAGTCGTAAATATTTAATCATTCCTTGTATTAAACTTTTCTATTACGCCGAAACACCGATCACACGGTAAGAAGCTGTGTGTTCTGGAAATCGATGAACAATCTTCTCAAAAGATGAACACCGCATAAGCATATATAGATAATGAACTAAAGTCGAGTTCTTTTTTTTGTGCTGCTGCGTTATCAGAAAATAAATACCGTACTTTAACTGTGCTTGGTAAAATGTCATTTATGTAGTGATTTATAAAAGATATGACTTCGTTTGTTGATTTTCGGCCTATGATTTCGTCATATAAATAAAAGTGAGCAATCCCTGTTTTTGCTGAATGAATACAAAAATTATATGCCCAAAGTTGACGTTTATAAAATGCTTCACCTGCTGGAATTTTAGGTAATGGCATATTCTGCTGATAATCAAATGTTAATACTACGCATTCTTCATTATTAAGAGCAAGTTGGCTCTTCTCTTTTAAATCAACAAAAAAAGTGTCGGCCTTGGCTTGATGAAGACTCTTCTCTATCTGTATTTGTTGGCTTTCATCGCTATCCAATGTCTTATCTTTTAGTTTGTTACTCAGCATGTCGCACTTCTTGATGGTATCTGAACGAGGTGACCCAAAACTGTATTTAAAATTTTGTTTCAAGTATGTAGTAAAAATCAAATGATAAGGCTTGAGATTCAAGTAAGCTCATGCTTTTTCAAATATAACTCGTACATCCTTTTAATGTTCAACTCTGGAGACAGATAATAACGGAGCTTTTATTTCTACTGTAGTGTGACTCGCGACGTGGGAAACTTCTAATATGAGACTCAACTTTAGAAACCCATTCACTTGGAATACGATTTGGTCTATTTTGATGTTTTCCACGATTAGACTGAGCTGGTGTAGTTACAGTAGGATCCCGATACTCTTTAGCAACATTGTCTACACGCTTTTTGGATACTCCATGGATAGATGCAAAGCCATTTCTGCAAATTTGTATATTTCTATTTCCTAATTTAATATAATATTTGTGTGAACAACTCCGTTTCTTCCCCGTACCAGTTTTAGATCTTTCCCTTTCAACATTCTCAGTTTTAATTAAACCGCCTAAGTATACGTTTTGCACATAGGTTTCTTCCAATTTATTAAAATTTTCCAATATTAGTTTCCTATCTTCTTCATTAATTTGAACAAAACACTTACACTTCTTACAACAACAATCCGGTCCAGTTTTTCTTTCGCCTATTTCACTGCCTTTATAGTTTAAATAGCCCCTTCCAGTAGCAATAGACTTCCTTATTACACTCCGTTTCCATTGTGATAGATTCGCGGATTTTCTTTTTTTCGGCGCTATGCCACTCGTCGATGGGCATGGATTATCTGTATTAAATTCATCCAAAATATTCATACCTTTATCGTTCGCCTCATTAGTTTGGTTTTGAAATGTCAACAAACCAACATCGCTTCCATCATCATCTGAACTGGTTGAACATGACTCGTAGACAGGCGGCTGGTAAATATCTGACGAGCAGCTACTAAACGGTTCAGTGCACTCAATACACACTTATCGTATCAAACTTAAAACAATTATTTAAAAGTATAATAAGCATGTCCTTTCGGGTCGAGCACAAAACGTGCACTGACTTGTTTACAAATGATGTAATAATTTCATTTGTTGCAAGAAGGAGGCAGGTCCGGACCTGCTCCCTTCTTGCACCAAACAGAATAAGGTAGCAGATCCAAATTTTGTTACAGCGCGCTTGTTTGTCGTCGGATTTGCCTCCTAAATGCACCAAACCATAGCTAATTTTTTTGTTTAAAATGTAGGTGAAAAAAAGGTAACGGTTAAAATTTGGATCTGCCCCTCTTTTGCTGCAAGGTCCTCAAATTCAGTTCACAATGAAGTTAGAGGCAAAAAATTCCTTAGCTTTTCTGGATGTGTTAGTAATTCGGAATCCTGATAACACCTTGAGCCATACTGTGTATAGAAAAAAGACCCATACAGATAGATATTTAAACGGTGATTCTCACCACCATCCTTCACAGTTAGCTACCGTGGGTAAATCTTTGTTTCAGAGAGCACGAGGGATCTGTGACAGTAAACACCTGGCTGCCGAGCTCCAATACGTGAAGCAAGTTTTGCATGACAACAAGCTTCGGGTCCCGCGCCTACGTCACAGAGAACGAGTGAAGCCGGCCACAGTTGAGCGTGTACCTGCTGTTCTGCCATATGTTAGAGGAGCCACTGACAAGATTGGCTACATCTTGAAGCGCGCTTCCATCAAAACATACTTCAAGCCGCCGAAGAAGATTGGTCAGTTTTTACCAGCAGTCAAGTGTAACGTCCCTCTGCAAGATGCTGGAGTGTACATGCTTGATTGTAAATGTGATCTCTCCTACATAGGACAAACTAAAAGATCAATTAAAACCCGCGTTAAAGAACATATAGCTGATGTAAAGAATCGACGCTCCAGAAAGTCTGCAGTCTGTGAACACGTACAGGATCGCCCCCGTCACTACATCAGATTTGATAGACCACAAATCCTCGCTAAAGAACACGATTCCTTCCAAGGATGATTCGTGAGGCTATTGAAATCAAAAAACATCCTAATTTCAATAGAGAAGATGGCTGGGTGCTACCATCTGCTTGGGATCCTATAATAAATAAAATTAATGGGTGCTCGATCCCAACCCAAGCATACAACTACAAGACTTCATGATACCATAAAGTTCGTACTGTGTAGATGGGAACAAAAGTTAAATTTTAATCTATGGTGACCGCGGTTAACTATGAAATCTTGACGTTGAACATCTCAGTCCTTCCCGTGACCATGGGTGCTGGAAGGCTCTCGAAACGTCGGGTATTTAAAAAGTTAAATATACGCGATAAATTCCGTAAAAACTAGTATTATTTCAATTTGATGTTACTGGTAACGTTGATAGTATGTTTCTTAACGTTTTACTGCTATAAGGGTTTGTGCATATTGTAACTTATTAAGTATACTTTTATCGTTGGCATAGAAACCTTATAAAAATATCGATCTTTTTCTAAAAGTTTTGATCGTGTAAGGTAACGAAAAACCCAATTAGTATTTTTTTATTTAATGTGCAGAAGATAACTTCTATGTTACCGTAACATAGAAGTGTTTATGTTACTGTATGTTACTATGTCGCAAAATTTAGGGCCTTACCCATATACATATATATACTGTAGAAAAAATGAAACAAAATCTAATGAAGTATTAATAAACAAAAGAAAAACATATAATTTTGTTATTATTACGGAAACGTCGGGATAATAAAAAAAAGACGTGTGGCACTCGGGGACTGCCGCGGTAAAGCTATTGCATAGCATTTTGTATCAACTTATGCAATTATAATTATTTATTTATTTTATTTATGCAGTATTTCTTTTTCTTTGATATTAATTCAAGTTACACTTTTTGAGCGTGGTGACCGATAAGAAAACAAATTTTTTTCTTTTATTAAATAAATAAATAATAAATGCACTTTGTTCATTCATATTCAAAACACTCTATACACAAATTTTACAAGTATAGCTACTCACTGTTGTACATAAATACCTATACACCTATATACTTTTGTTGAGCCACGTGGCGGTGGTGTAATAGAACCATGAGCCATCACCCCTTTGTATCCCATGGTTGTCGTAAAAGACGATAACAGTCAACGACAGAAAACTTTTATGGCTTCCGATAGATGGCATAAAGCCAATGCCCATCTTGTTTACACCTATTTAGTTTACATAAGAATTAAAATACTCGGACCGGCGAGGAGCAGCAGAACAACAGAACATGATATGCTTAAGAAGAGAAACGAAACTGTTTGGTATTAGAAATTAGACATTTCCATATTAGTCCTTGGAGGTGACTACGCGTCTACATTTTGATTTTTAATCGATAACTGATGTAGATATCTGTGGGCGACAGCATCCACTTACAAGTTAATGGACTGTATGCTTATTTGTCACCCTTACTCTATAAAAATATATAAAAACCTACTCCATTATTAACAAAATTAAATTTTTGCAGTAATATTTTACGATTTTATTTCGTAGTGCTGAGCTCTCGCAACGCGGCGTACGTCCACCTAGCAACACGGTGCGCCCCGCACTGAATTCGTGGACGAATGCGGGGGGTGATATATACGCAGTATTTAATCGGGACGCATTTTTAATTTATTATCATAAAAATAATACATATTTCTAAAAAGAAACCAAACCAAATTATTTTATTTTGTATTGCAAAGCAGTAAATATTTTCTTTATATTCCTTTGACAAACAATGAAGGACTAAAGTGGTTTCATCTCAACGATTTGGAGGTGATTTGGGTATTTTTTTATTTATTATGTGACACCGATAGAAAAATTATGGCTAAACCAAATTACGTATCAGATCATGTAGATTACTAGCTATTTTTTTCATATGTAATTTCTCTGTAAGTGTCGACGAAAAGTTGGTTCATCTGCACGCATTTTTCAAGCTTTTTGCGAGAGAGCAGCCTTAATAATAAATGCACTTTGTTCATTCATATTCAAAATTTCAAAACACTTTATACAAAAACACCGTGTCGAAGACTGAGGAAAAAAACGACTTTAGACCATCGTTAGACAATGCACGGCCTTCAAGCCACACCTCCGTGCCCGTCGGAGAGCGTGAGGTTTTTTTCGTTACGAAATTTCTGGATTTTCCCGCACTCAAGGCCCGCGATAGAAGCTATGCAATAGCTTAATAAATTAAAGTTAATTAAACGCGATAAAATCCGTAAATAATAGTTTTATTCAATGTGTATTGTTCGCGTAAATTTAAGAAATCATTATATCTAACAAGGTTTACGTAAATAATTTGTAATTCTTTTTACTCGTATTTCAATAAACTTTAAAACTAATTCAAATAAATAATAATACTCGTTACTTCGATCAACAATCGTATTGAATCGTATAGAAAGCATTCAAAGACGATTCACTCAATATTGTTCTAGTGGTAATCATATGGAGTCCTATTCCACTCGTCTCCTAAAACTAAAATTAAACTCACTATCGGACAGACGTAAACTAAATGATTTAGTTTTTTTGTACACGCTTACAAATGGGACTATAGATTCTGCCGAATTAATATCACAAATATTGTTCAAAGGTCCCTGCCGTGTACCGCGTTTTTCGATTCCCTTACTCAAACACAAATTGTATAAAACTAATCTTGGTCATCACTTTCTTATACCGAGAATAAGCAGATTGTATAACGAATGTGTCCTTAAAGATAAGACTATTGACTTATTTAGCGATAGTATAAAATCTTTTAGAGCCAAAATTGTCAATCTATTTAATAACTCATAGTAAAAATTATACCATATCTTTATATAAACTCGATATAAATGTTGTTATTTTTATATATTTTTATTTTTCATATATTTCGTATTGTCTAATTATTTTTGTTTGTTTTAAGTTAGTATTTTACTCGTACTTGTAACAATTTTTAAGTTATCGTACAGTTATCATCTTTTTTAAGCATGCTGTATATGCTTTAAATGGAAACATGTAAATCTTAGTTCCTAAGCCTGTTGTCACATTTTTTTTAAAATAACTTGTTATTTCGTTGGTGGTTCTATCAATAAAATAAAATAAAATAAAATAAACAATACCAACTAGATAATGGGTGGTCACGTACAAAATCATAGCTAAATTCTGTCCGCGTGAATACACACTTAAACATCAACATTAGTTTACTAAATAAATGAGACAAAAAGTTAAAACAGTTTTAAGTTCAACCTAATTAAAACTATGGCATCTAGTAATAAAGTCACAAATCTTACAATCATTAGACAAAAAAAGGAACAATGCAATACATTATTTCTGTCACTTGGAAATGAATAGACATAACATTTAGTATGAAATCACCCTTAAGGTGTAACAAATAACGTACTTTTTCAGCTACCCGTTATTGTTCTTTTCGTAATTGGGTTAATTAACTAATTCAATATATATATATATATATATATTTATATATATTTATATAGTGTATTTTGTTGAATACAATATGTGTCTGGCATCTTCGTGGAATCTTTAGTAAGCTCTTAGTAAGCTTTAATATTAAGTTGTACAGTCTCTCATCGAAACCTTTTGATAAGAAGGCGTTGCAAAGTTCTTAAGCTTTTAATTATAATGAGTTACAGTAGAATATTAGAGAAAATATAACGAAGTGAGAGTAAAACTCAAAACTACTACTCGTTTGAGCTTAAATTAATCATTCTTATTCTTAAACTAGTCTAGTATTATGTGTTTTGATTTTGTATTTTGTAGCAAATATTTAAGTACAAAGAGGTTGTGTTTCAGTAGTATTTTGTATTTGTATTTTCCTTTTCTCCCTTTTTTCACATTTGATATACTTC